AGCGCATTAATATCAAATTCGATGATATTATCATCTGGAGATATTTCTAATCCAAAGTGAGGATATGTTGTGGGGCGCCCTATGGTAAGGCGCATATCAGAATTCAATGTGAGCATGACCACATGCCCTTTTTCTTTTCTTTCTTATAAGAGCCTCCCAGTTTCCTTCATCTGCACTCAGAATTTTCTTTTTTTTTTATTGACCACATGATGTAGTATTTTTAGTGCCTTAAACAGAAAGCTTTCAAATGAGTCTTCACTCTTTCAAAGTAGTAGTAGTAGTACTACTCCCCTTTTTCCTATTAAATACTCTCTCAAATGACATGTGCTTCTGTCCTTTTGGCTAAAAAAAATTTCCTTGGAAAAAAAATTCAAATATGATATTACATTGTTATTAGCTATTCATGAGTTTTATTTCAGAATAACTATGTTTGGTTGGATGGAAAATAAGAGAAACATAAAGCAAGGAGTTAAAAAAACTCTCTTAACCAAGGCTTAAAATATCTATACCATACACACAATATAATGTGATACATATCATGCCTTCTTTTTTTGCCTTTCACCCTATAGGGCTGTAGTTTAATTTTCATGGCATAGTACTGCATGCTTTATTTAACAACATTACACTCTTTTCAAAGATGGATTTAGAGCCGTTAATAATGGGGCTCGAAACCATATTGCGTCTGGGGTTTACCCAGTTACGTGCCACGGTGCCAACCGAGCCACCACTCGATTGATATGCATATCTCACTTTGAACTTTACCCTCAACACTATCTGTTTTTCTCTTATTTTCTATATGATACAATGTGATACAGATCAATACATATAATACTTGGTAATTCACTCATTTGGGTAGGACTGAAATTAGTACACTTCTTTAAGAGATGGAAAATAAGAAAGAGCAATATTGTTTAGGGGCCGTTTGACAAACACTGAAGTTGCACAACTGAAAGACTTGTTACTTTGTCATTTAGCTATTAAAATTAAATAAAAAATTTAAGAATATAGCGATCAACCCCACTTCACAGTTTCAACCATTATAGGGCTCACGACCTCCTTAACATGATATTGGTTAATTAAAATAAAAGAAGAAGATTAGGTTGATATATTACCTCAAAAGATAGAGATGTTAAAATTATCTTGGTTAATTTCTTTTGTCTTCTGATTTGGGCCTCTCGTCATTCTTCCTTGATTTCAGCCAAGGAAGAAAGAAAACCCATTTGGTTTTTCTTACCGACCAAGGGACAGTAAAGGAGACAACCAGCCAAATATTCCGGCATAAGCTACAACCTACGAGTAAAACTCTTGGATTTTACCTCAAAAAAGCCTAGATTCTACCAAAACCCATTAATTACATCGATGGATTTGACGCTAAGCTAAACCTTGTAAAACCTCCATAAATCCTTTATCTGTAGAAGCTACCAAACAGTCGACATCTTATTTCTCGGTAGATGGTCGCTGAATCAATCCTCTGTACCTTCCTGCACTAATCCTTTCTCTGAAGATATTCCAAACAGTCGACATCTTTTTGAAACCATAACAATCATTACAACTACCACCACCTTTACACCAGTAAAAGTTTGTTCATGGGTCCCTTCGTTCTCCACCTCCTCCGCCCTCGCCGGAAAATTCGGCTACCGGCTATCTCTCTCGCCAGTCGTCTGTGCCTCTCAAGGACTTTGCCATGGGAGACTCTCAGTTTACATAATTGGTGGCTGGCTGTGCCACTAGGAGGTAGGCCAGGGCGGCTCCGATCACATTGTTTAGACTTTAGATTGATCTTCGAGCATTGTCATTGACCCAATCGGGGAACCCGACCCGAAAAAAGAGGGTCAGGAACCCATATTTAGTGATCTGAAGGCTGAAGCAGATCTAGATGGCCTGAACGGACCCAACCCCCCCAAAAAATTGGGTTAGGTCGGGTTCGGTCATGGGTCATCGTCGGGTTGCGGGTTGCTTATCTTCAAACCAAAGTTTTCAAATTAGTGTTGACTGTTGATTCAGACAGTTGACCCATTCAAATAATTTGAACCGGATAATTAAACTTCTATTTTTAGTAAAAACAATTAACTTGGTTAAAGAACAATTGACCCAGGCAATTTAACCCTTGACCCATCTAACCTGTGGATAATTCTAACTTAAAATATTTAGGGTTAGGACCTAGCCTTTTCCGATCCAACCCAAAAAGTGGCCTGACCCAAAATGCCTTGGCCCGACTCAAATCCAACCAGATCTAATTCCCACGCCTAATTCTTCATTGATTGGTCCAACTGTGCGCCACTTGTCATCCCTGGTTTTGATTTTTCTTGTACAGTTGTGATGATAAGATCTACGTGGCAGGGACCAGGGAGCAATGTGCATGATTAGGTAATGTTAGAGGAATCGCATCCGCTGAGGTGTATGATCCTGCGGTGGACAAATTGACCCCAGTGCCTGAAAAAGCAACTTGAAGTACAAGTTTGTGTGGGCTGGGTCCCGGGGGGGTGACATGGCAGGGGAAGATCCACGTGGTTGGGGCTTTGCTGAGATTACAATCGCACCGTGCCATTTATATAATATAGGATGTTCAAGGGGAATCAAAATAAAGAGGAAGGCATTTTGGGAATATTGAGAAAATGATGACAAGCTTCTGGTACAGTTATTAGTGCAAGATAATCATACTAATGGGAAGACAAAATGGAGACGACAACTTGACAAGTGAGCAATGAACATATTGATATTGGGCTGGAATATTGGAATGATCTCCTTTTTACTTTTGGGGCGAATTATTATTCTAACCTACGCAAGCTTTCAACTTTATCTTTATCTAAACCATGTTTTAGGCCCATGATGGGACTACTAATCCACAGATTTTCTGAGTGATTCTACCTCAAAATAGATCTTGATGTACTGATGTGATGTACTGGATTACTGTTAATCAATTCATAATGATGCAAGGGCAAGGGGTCATGGTTCATGGATATTAGTGCTCCACCAATAGGGAATGGGCCGGCCCGTAGGGTAGAACGGACCAAGAAAGTTATAGATTTGGTAAACGGCTAAGATCCTTTCATCATGCATAATTTTCATGGGCCCCCCATCTTACCATCTTTGTAACTAAAACCGTAAAAGCTGGTTCCTACTTGCTTCAGGCATGTCGGTCCAAGCACTAATTCTGTTTGTTTAACATCAAAAGAAGAGAAAGGGAAGAGAGAGAGGGGGGAGAGAGAGTGGTGAGTGAGAGAAGGAAAGCGAAAGGTCCTTCACGTGAGCCAGACTCGCGCACGAGGCCCACCCAACCCACTCTCAGACTCTGACACTCTCTCATACGGATACGGTCACCCCGGGTCAATTGCACGGTCAAACTTCTCCGTCAAAGTTGAAAAGCTCATTCATCTCCACACGCCATCGCTCGTGTGATCTTCAATCCACGTGAGTGATGTGACACGTGGCTTGCACGCCCGGTAACCTGACATTTGATGGCGATTCCCGTTGACATTGACCCACATCCATCGCTCGTTAGAGTATGCATTAAATCCGGGCTTCATCGGGCGGCCAAAATTTGTGGTGTTATGGAGAAATCTGGGCCATCCGATGGGGACAACATTGAGATTCGGCTGTCTACTTGCGGAGGTGGAGCCCGGAAAGGCCGACATGGAAGGGTGATATGTCGGTTGTATTGCTATTCTCATCCCCGACCGATCCAGCTCAGTACACGTGGCGAAATTACTGATGAACAAATAGCCAGGTGATACGTGTCCAAGGGGTTTCCCGTAGGAACACGGGCTGAGGAAGTTGGAGACAAGGGGCATGTGTGAGTTAATGAGGTGTCCTAATGATGCGTACGCCATGTCACTTCTATGGGCCCACCGTTAATGATGTGTGAGTTGAGCGACACGTCGGAAAACGTAGGTGGCAACTGGCAAGGTGCGATGGGTGGGGGGGACCACTCGCTGTTTCACTCGCTGTCGTTGAGATAATACTGTGTGTACTTGCTATTCTTATTTATATTTTCCCCATAAAGTCTGTGGACTTCTGCTCCGTTCAGAATAAAAAAAGGACACAGACAATCGTAGAGGACGCTTATACCCTTCATTTTGTAAGGAATTGCACATATACCCTTCCTTTTGACGGATGATTTTGTCAGACAGACTCCATCGGATGATGGGTCATGACTCATGGGAATCTGCTTCACACCACACTCCACAGTCCACACTCCCGACACTCCACAATGGCATTACCGAAATTCTTATGCGAAGACGAGGCAATCACGCAGCGAGGCGAGGCTGCAGGTTTGTTCATGGATATCTCGTTGCCGTTGGGCTGGGCCAGGACCAGCCCAATTTAGAAGTTATAACAACCACTAATTAATATACTTCAGAAGTTTACAGCCTTCATGCGTTAGCCACTGCATCCTTAATTTTCAGCGGAGAATCAGAAAGTAGGGCAATTGCTTGTATTAGAAATTTTTATTAATTGAACAAAAAAAATTATTGAATTAGGAGATAAATTAAATAGAGGCCCAGGCCCAAGCCCAAGCCCAAGCCCTTGGGAATGGTATAAATATAATACCGCAATTTAACTTTCATGGTATAATACAGCAAACGTTATCTATAATATTACAGTCTTCTAAAAGGTGAATGTAGTGCTGTTAATAGCGGAATTGGAAACCGGATTGTGTCTGGAGCTTACCCAGTTACGTGCCAACCGAGCCACCACTCGGTTGGTTGATTGAATTGATACATTGAAGGATGATGGGTGTGGCCTTCTGTTTTGTCCATAAAAAGAGAGGATGTGAAGGACGGTAGCAACAATGAGTCGCGGCAAATCAGAGTCCCACTCGCATATCGTATCGCTGTCTGTCATCTTTAGAAGCAGCCCAATGCCTATGAAGAGAGCAGGCCCAAATTCCCCTTTTTTTCAGAGATTAGGCTTTACTGGTGTAATTATATATTAATTTATGATAAACAGTGTACGAACGTGTTAACAATTAAAAAAAGTTTGTTTGTATATTAGACAGAGAGCTATCGATCCCAGTTCCCACACCAAGCAGCTCTCGTTTCAACCTTGGCCCTTGGGTCACATCCAGAGGAGGGTCACATGCTCTCTCTCTCTCAGCTTTTCTGTGAACGCTGAAGAGGTTCTCTGTGTAGTTAGTACAAGCAAGCTTCGACAAGGGCGTGAAAGACCCTGAAACGAGGGTTGTCTCCTCTCGTAAACCCATCGATTCCTTTTAATTTGGTTGGTCCTGTCGAAGCGGCCATGACCTTCTTCTTCGTCTACCAGATCAAAACTGCAGTATCATGAGGAGAAGGATGGCTGGATTTTCTTTTCTTTTTTCTTTCCTTTGTGTGCTGCGAGCTTCTCTAGTTTTATTTGGTTCATCATGAGAGAGAAGTTCTGTTAAATATAGGGGAGAATGGGCGAAGATAGCTGGGGTATGCAACCTTCTGGAGCTCCACTTAATGTGCAGAGAGACGAGCACTGGAGAAATTTTGATAACTCTGTTAATGCTGTTTCTTTTGGATTTGTTGCAACTGCGATTCTTATTTCCATGTTTCTCGTTATGGCCATCTTCGAGAGATTTCTAAGGCCGAGATCAACCGGACTAACGCCTTCTGGCGGTAGAAATCACAACGATCTCGAGGCGCAGATGGCCTTCAACGGAAAGCTTGGTCACCCATCACCCAAAGTAATCTCTCTCTCTCTCTCTCTCTATTTTTGATTATTTCATCATGACAGGACAGAAGTACTGTTTTGTTCTTCCACTCTGTTTTATGTTTTTCTTTGAAATCTTGTAGTTCCTCTTGCCTGCAAGTCTGCAACCTCACCTGAGTGGAGAAACTATCTTTATTACGACCGAAATGTCCTTCGTTGGGTTGGCTTTTCGGTTTAATTTTATTTACTTTCTTCAATAATCATATATCCATTGTTTGGCTAGTACTGTAGAAGCAAAGCAAATACTTACTTGAAATGAAGCCTTATGTTCTTTTCATATTTCTATTTAAAATTTTATGCTTTAATCTAGGTAAGTAGGGGATGGCTTATCATACTCCGAGAAAGACGCAGCCAGCAGCCTTTCTATTCTGGAAATGAAGTTCTGAATAAGTTTCAGACATTTTAAATTTGACCTTCAAATTATCTTCCTTTCCTCTTTTCTCTTTCCTAACCTTTTGCCACCTGATTACCTGAACATGGAAAGGTGGGGATATATTGGTCTTTTCATAAAAATGTAGCTTCTTCTTCATTTGTGGTTTTCGCTACCTTAAAGTTAAATGGGTCTTTGTGGTTCGGACTTACAGTGGTTGTTTCAAATGACGGACACACCATTGATGGAAGAGAATGCCTTGGGATGATCTTAACCATTAATAAGTCTACTTTAGTTGATCTTGATCATCCAATTGATGGGTCACCAGAAAACTATAGAATTATGGTTATTATGATTTCGTACTTCTGCTTCTTCTGGTTGGGGTCCTGCTAGACTACCCAGTACCCACCTTACCCTCCATGAAGTCAAGAACTAACCAAAAACACTAAGTTACATAAATATAAATGTGGAGGAATTAGTTTTGTAGAAACATCCTTCTACATTCTAACATATTTAGGGTTAGGACTTAGAATGAACAGTTTTCTGATGATTTTATTGAAACAACTCAGTTTAATTATCTTGGACATTTTTGCAGATTGCATTATGCTCATATGATAATACTAATAATACATTTGTAATTGTTTATTCGTGGTCATGTCATGGGCCTCATCATCCACCCATCTATCTACTTTTTGCTTTACAATTTGGCCTATGGTTCAGGATTGGGGAGCGATCCCAACCTTTGGTTTAGGATATAAAAGTTGTTTGGATGATGATCAATTGGGGCATTTAGAAGTGTCAGTTTATCCAATTTTAGTACATGGTGTTTTTTATAGTTGGCAGTAGAATGTATTGGGGCATGTCTGTTATCTCAGTTGATAATGCCATGTGCTTCGTACTAAACTACCAGTATGAGCTCTTATTTTTCTATGGTTTAAACATTCAAAGATGAAAGAATCCTCCCTTTTGAAGGAAAAGAATAGACAGTGGCGTTATCCTTTATAGTCTACTTGGAAACTGGGGTTGTTATTGGCATTCGAGTTAGAAGGAACAGCTAGGACAAAAATCTCCTCTTTGATTCATGTTGTCCGTTTCTACCTGCAAGATTGCTAGTGAAGAAAATGCTGGCAAAGGTCCATAAGCTGCCAACCACATTTTCTGGATCTTGTCTGGTGCATTTCTTTTCACCTTGCTAAAAATGTTTTTCTTTTTTTTTTTTATTCTGAACATTTTTGCCTGGGAGAGCACTACACTAACTCACTAAGATTACTATTGCCATTTCTGGTGGAAGAAATGACTAGGACAGATCTCTTTTGGTCCAATTATTTACTTCTACGTTCTATATGGATTGCCAGTGGAAAATGCTAATGATGTTTCGTAACTACCAATCACATTTTCTGGGTCATTTCTTTCACAGATTTTTTTGCTTTGCTTCGAAAATTGGTAGTACAATGTTTTCACAGGATTCAGGCCAAGTTAATAGGCCCTAGTTGGTAGTGTTAGCAGTAGTGGTGTGAATGTATTTATCATTACATTCTAATAGATCTTTCTATAAGTGTTACAGAAGTTTTATCAACTATTGAAAGATAGACTTTCTGTTCAAGTCCTGAAATTCCTGATTTTGCCAGTTAAGTGGCGCTTCTGATCTTATCTATACCCCAAAGACAGGTTTTCGGTCATTCTCTGAATTGTGTAACATTTTTGGAAGGCTGGCTGCTAATAGAATAATACATTTGTTTATACAGTAGTCTTGAGTTGTAGCTGCTTTTGTTTATTTTGCAGCTGCTTTCCTATTATTGTAGTCTTAGTAATTAACTGGTGCTGTTGTCAGTGTAATGTTATCATTATCAAACCTATTAAACAACCTTATTGAAAGTTTGAAGCTTTGCCTATTTTAGGATTGATAACAAGTTTAGATGTTAACTTCTGTGTTTATGTTCTTTGTTGGAATTTGCAGATGTCGATATATGCTAGTGGTGTGTCAGTGTTGATGCCAGGAGAAGAAATTCCCACCTTCATTGCTCACCCAGCTCCTGTGCCATGCCCTCCAGAGCGTGTTTCATGGCCTCTCCACCAGCATGTCTCATTCAACTGCCCTGCCACGGGTGTAAACTCAACCTTGACTTGAAAAGAAAAAGTGTAAAGAAGACATTACTTTAGATCCCTCCATGAAGAAGATCCAAACCAAGAAAAACAACTCTGAACAGAGGGATCTTAATGGAACACACCAATCGAATATCAACATCTCAAACTTGAGCAAGGACACCTTTTTTCCCCATTTTTCTCATGCAAATACTGAATATGGCGAACAGGTTGTCCAGATTCCAGGACAATTTCAGATGAGCAAATTTAACTTGCTCTTGTTTGCATGGGCTCTCTTTTGTGCCTTGATTATGATTTCCTCTTAACATTTTTGTATCAGTGATTGAGGTCTGTCAAACGTGACGAGTTTCTCGTCCTTTGAATTGGTCAGTGGCTTGTAAAAATCGAGGAAAATAGCTGGGGTTTGGAATGAGAGATAAAGGCTATTTGTTCATTGTTTGTATAAAAAAGGTTTGAATCCAACTGTTTACTTTTGCTCAAGAAAAATGCTAGTTTTGTATCAATTAACCCGGGGTATGCCCAAAAACAGATAAGAAACACATGGAGGCTTCTCGAGCTAGTTCAATGAGCTAGAACATTCATCTTCCCTTGCTTACAATTAATGAACTTTATCGACTCAAAAAGCTGAAGCCAGGAATCTAGCTTGACTCATTACTGGTTCAAACCCCCAAGGTTACCGTTTTCTTCGGATGCTGCAACAACCTGATAAAATTCAATCTTTCTAACAGGTTTCAAATGCCAACTTGAAAGCTTCGATCGAACAGGACCCATGCTTCAGTTTTGTAGTGTTCTTACGGCTAGTGACTTGGTTACCCATAAACTTGCAACAGAGTACGAGACGTCATCATCACTTCTGCATCCAAGCCAAGAGCCAAACTACAATTTTCTTGCAAAGCTGCTTTGTATAAATAGATAGCAGCAGGCCTCTCTGTTTTCTCCACACATACGGTAACAACTTATCCGTGTTATTATTAGTAGGTGTAAATAGGCTGGGTTAGATCGGGTTGAGATCCATCCTAACCCAACCCCAGTTTGTTGAACCCCCAACCCGATAACTTCATGCCAAATGTACTTATTCGTGTAGGATTATTGGACACATGATTTGGGTGCAAATTCTAATTTATTTTTGTTTCAAAATTTACCTTATTGTGTACATAGATGCATGAATACATACATATATCTAAGTACTTAAATAAATACATATTTATATAATATTTAAGTATGTAAAGATGAAGTTAAATTGGGTTTGGATTAGATCTAGTTGGTCATAAGGCCTCAACCCTAACTGAACATAAGATTATGTCAGGTTCATAATTTTCAACCCTAACCTAAACCCAACTTTTAACCTAACCCAACCCAATCCCATTTTTTTCGGGAAAGTCACAGCCCTAGTTAGTAGCAACCAAAGCTGCTGCATTTCTTGGATAACATTCAAAATGAATATAAGGGTCCGGGGATGGAGTTTTATTTTCCAAAATCCAACTGCTTATCGTTATTATTATTGCTTTCATGGCTGTAGAGTTTCATTCTGCTTTCTGCAAAAGCAAACATTAAGTTTATGAGCTGTGGACGCCAAGTGAATGTCGGGACCCAATAATTGAATGCAACTCCTCTAAGAAAATAGTACGATCATGGCCTAGAGCTCATTGAGGAGTGAGAAAATTGCTGCCTGCCACTCTCTCACACACACAAAAAACAAAAAACATGCGGATGGCGTGTAATTTGCTATGTGACATATCACATGGGTTTGGGCTGGAATGGACTATAAAGTGTAAGATTTTAATTGGGCCTGTTCCAAATCCTAAAACTCTGGTCCGGTCCATTTTAGAACCAGAGCATGCATGGATAGGGAAGGGTGGATGATCTTAAATTTTATGTGCCAATAAAAAAGGGAAGCTGGGAAAGAAAGAAAGAAAGAAAATTGTGAATAGAATAGAATAGAATAGAATAGAGAATGGGAGAAAGGATCCTCCTCATCCTCAATTGTGTTCTTTGTTCTGACACGAGTCATATGGGTTTGTCACAACCCAAAAGACCCTCCAAAAATGAAGAACCAGCCCATGTGGACTGGAGTGGAGGGATGACAGTGAATGTAAGACAGGCCATTATATGGTGTCCCTCCAGTTTTGTCATTTGCTCAGTGTCTTGGCTCACTTCACCGCCTTCTTTCTGATTGGCATCTTTCGCTAAATAATACCCAGTCTGCAACACTTCCCAATCAGATCTCTATGCCTATAAAAGAGTCTGTCTCTCACCATGTAGCAGGAGTAGTGACTTTGTTATCCACAGTGGGAATGGCTTCTTAGTACTAACCAATAAAAGAATGCATCTTTACTTAGGTTGCGTGGTCTGGAATTCATAAATTCTATGACAGCTTTTCCTATTGGAGCCCCCTTATCCAAGGGGCTAAGGTCCTTGTTTTTCTCCTCCTTCTGGCTACTGGATTATCAATTATGGGCCAAGCTATAATTCCAGATTATCTTTCTTTCTTTCTTTCTTTCTTTTCTATGCAACCCCACGACGCCTCTTCACAGTCTTCGACCCATGATGATTCATCCACTAGGGAATTGGCCAAGTTAGCCAGCATATCATCTACACAATTTCCCATACTATATGTATGAGTTGCCTTGTAATAGACGTGAAGCATTCAGATTTCTTGAACCATTGAACTTATTCTCCACAGGGTAAATGCTTTATGATTGATAGTCAACAATGAGTTTGGAGTCACCTTCAAAGTTCAATCCATATCCATTCTTGAGTTATGCTGACCAAGGTGATTCCAATTCAGCCGACTCCTACTCCTTGGCTTGGTTGTTGACTGATGCATCAAAGTTCCTATCTTTATCACATTTCATTGTGTGCATTATCTATCTACATTACTCTACTGCATTTAGTTGGTTGATGGAGTTTGTTCTAAAGTCTTGTCTGGGCTTGGTTCAATTTCTTGGGTTGGGAATCATGTTTATTCATTTGTTTCCAAATTGCTCAAAATAGAAAACGATTTTCTGCATGTTCTGTCCCTTGTTCATATTTTCCAGAATCAGCAGAATCGTTCTACAAAGCTTTCTCTGGTGCCTAGACTCAAAGTAGGAAAGTTCCTAATTCATCGACTCCTCAAATTGAAAATCATACAAACATGTCGCCCACAGTTGGGGGGGGCGTACCCGTAAGCACTGTTAACGTAAGCTTAATCCCCAATAAAAAGATGGCTGACTCATGGTCAGAGAGCAAGTTGAGTCTTTGCGACAGGAGGTAGGTAGTACGTATTTGGCAAGTATTACATATTTTATCAATAAATACAAATCAAGCCCAAGAAATTGACCCATACCTTGTCAAAAAGAGCCAATTTTTGACATTAGAGATTTCAATGGATCTGGTCTGGGTGAATCAGTTTTATAAAATAGACCCACAATCGAATCAATTATTAATTGGGGTAATAAGGTCAGACCCGATTACACTTGACATCTATAATTCCCTATGATAATAACAACTTGGAACTTTGTTTTTTATAATATAACTTTAATAAAAAATGAAATTAAATAGTAAAGTTCATATGTTGATGCACTCATGTCCTTCTAACCAAAATTATATTTTATACTGTCTATAAATTTACCCTTTTATACATAAAATACAGAAAAAATCGAAGACCTTTATATATTATTGTAAGAAATAAGCATTAACCATATATGTTATATGGTATTTGGATTTAACTTTTATGATCTACACAAAAACCAAGTCAAGTATCTGCTTTATATGATATAGATATAATTAAATCGGGGGTCTTAATCGGTTCAAAACAGTAAAATCCGGTCATAACAGATCGCAGTCTTCAGTTGGGCTTCATCAAAATTTGAAATGGGCCAAGCCCGAAACAGTGTAAAATGCTGGCTCGGGCCAACCCAGATTGCACCTCAAATATTGCTAACACAATTACAAATCGAGACAGAGTACATGACCAGACTGCCCTACTGACATTTTCATCCTCAATGCAAAGCATCACACGAATGATGGTCAGGAATTTAAAAATTAAAATGGCCCAGGAACAAAGAATCCTAGAACGAGGGCTTCCCTCATCTTGGACGTGGCAGGAAAAGATAGGGCCACGTAGCAGGGGGGCTTGGCTTCTCGGCCGAATTGAGAAACCTCGAGACCTTCTACTTCATTTTAACTTTGGGAGTGGTGCAGGGAGAAAGAGAAAGAAGGGCATAGAGATTAGAAGTTGAACACAAAAAAAGGATTATATGATCTGCTACAAGAAAACAAAAGGTCGGTCTCTACAATTAAAAAGGAAGAGGACCACTCACCCACAACCCTCCAATGCAACGGCTACGGAATTTAGATCCTTGCCACCGTCCAAAACTTTGCCAAATTACTTCCAGAAATCAGTCCCTAGACTAGCCTCAAGCCTCTGACGAGGAGGGTTAATTAAAATCCACCGCTCTCGTAAAAAAGAAGAAGAAGAAGAAGAAAGAATCACGCCTATCTGTGGATGGATTTTGTCACAGAACAAATCTTTCGTAATGGACAAAGCGTAAACATGGAGAGAGTATTCCCGAAGCAGGCCGATCCAACTGGAGATGGAAGAATTATTCTATCCTGTACCTTTTTGTTGTTCAGGTCGTAGGCCGTAGCTCTTTCTTCGACTAGGGTCCTCAGAATTGTTGAACTATCTATCTATATTCAGTTATAGAGGGGTGTAAAACTGTAAATGGTATTCCATGATGTCCAATATAATCGAATCGAGTTTGATATTTCAAATACAGTAATTTATAAAAAAAATAAAAAGCTTATACCATTTAGTTTATTTGATCGAATTTGGATATAGCCTCATTTTATTCGGGAAAAATCCAAACTGATTAGAGCATTAATATATACATTTGAGGTTATCTAAATAAATTTTATTTCTATTTGGTGAAAAAATAATTAAATGTCGCAAGATGGATGAGCGGTAAAGTAGAAATGATATAGTTAGAAAAGAAAATCATAGGAAGGAATTTAGGAGTATCTCAAATAAATGATTGTGAGAGAATATATTGAGATGATGGGGACTAGAATTAGGGATGTAAACGGATCAGATCGGATTTGAATCAAGGTATATTTGAATCTGATCAAACACTGTTCATGTTGGATCTGATCCGATTGGATTTGATAGGACTCGATTTGAATTTGAATCCTATTGGTAAGTCAGATCTTCATATATGATCCGATCCGACTTGTTTTTTTTTTAATTAATAAATTATTAAAAGAAAAATAAAATATACTAATTTAAATAAAATAAAAATAAAAAATATAAGTATTTTTTAATTATTTTCATCATATATATACATGTTTTTATAAAAAAATAAATAATATAACAGATTTATAAAAATATAATATAAAATAAATAAATAACATATATATATGTATTATAATATATAATATACATTGAATTAGATCTTCTCGGATTGAATAGGGGGTGATTCAAATCCGATCCGATTTTTTATCAGATCATATTATCCGATCCAAATATTCGAATAAGAATGATCTAAATTCGATCAAATAGGATCAGATCAGATCATAATCTGATCCATTTGCACCCCTAGCTACAATAGAAGTTTAATAAGACATGGGTGGAACTAATAAATCTTTTGTTTTTTTTTTAAATGTCCATAATTCAATGATAGATATGGTACTAAACAGAACGGGCAAGGTGAAATAAGATTCATGTAGCATAGTTGAGACAACCATGAAAGTTTTTGAATGGGTTTCTATAGCTTGTATGGCATAAATACCTCTTTACAAGCAGAAACTATGGCAGTTTTGGATGGCCTTGGGTGATGTTTTGATAATGGTATCAATGACTTTGAAGCGAAAAGTGAAAACAAAATTCTTAGGAGAACTCAAGGAAAAATTAGTCATCCTTAATCAATATTTACTGCTTAGGAACCTATCTTCCTTTTAAGCCCCGTTCGCTTTTCTTTTGGCCATATAATTGGGTAAATACACTTGTTCGACAAGTGTTTCTCATGCAAGTGTATTTACTTATATTCTTTTATTTCTTAGGTGAGTGACATAATGACCATTTTATTCTTAAAAAGATAATATTAAAAGGGATAAAAAAATAATTATTTCATGGGCCTCGCATTGAATCCGCAAAAAAAACGTAGGATTATTGGTCAATGGGGATCATTTTCCCATTTACAACTTTGCCCCCAACATTTACCCAAAATGGATGTGCCTTTATCAATAGATGTGGGATTTAAGTATAACAACTTTCCCTCATATAAATTTATTTGCTATTTATTTGAAAAGTTTTACACTTCTCTTATGTGGATAAGTTATTTTCCTGTTTAGTCAATGGATATTTTTTTTTCCATTGACCAACTTTACATTCTTTTTTTGCATTAACTAATGGGCTCTATGGTAGAATAAGCTCCACTTCCTCGGGTAAAATTTACCCATCTCCTAGGTGGATAACTTTCCCACCTAGGGGAAAATTTTATAAAGTATAATGGGACAACTTTGTCTATTTTTATATTATCTTTTTATGAGTAAAAATGTCATTTTGTTATTTGAGAATCCTGGAAATCAAAAGAACATGGGTAAATGCACTTACCTCTCTTACTTGGGTAAGTTACAAAGATACAAACAAGCGAGGCCTTAAGAGTAAAAGTTACTAAAATTTAGAGGTTGTTTGGTATTGTGTCATTATTTAATAAATGTTTTGTATTTGATTTATCTTATAAAAACAAGAAAAGTGGTTGATAAACGTTTTTTCATATTGCTTGAAAACTAGACGCCATTAGGTGCCACATAAGGTGAACAATAAATAAACATCTTATTGCTGGGGAAACAGTAAAAGATAGCTTCTCCTAACAGTTGACTCTAACACAAATTGAGACAAACATTTATTTAATAAACATTTTATCAAATAGCATTTCAGAATAAATGTTTATGTGGTAATGAATTGGCACCGTTTTTCAAATAAATGGTAACGGAACCTAACAACAGAACTAAACACCATCTTAATGAGACAAAAAATCCATTAAACATGTAGTACAAGCAAAAAAGGTACAAAAGATGAAAATAGAAATAGAAAAAACTTACGTAGATAAAATATAACACAGCTAAACACTCTTACTATATAAGTGTTAAGTGTTACCATGAAAGCAGGGTGGGTTCGAGCCGAGCTGGATATCTAACTATTTGAGCTCGATTCAACAGAATATTGTGAAGCTTGAACTCGGGCTCGACTGTAAGCTATATTTCCTTATAAAAATTAAAAATTATACATATAAAAAAATATTATATATAATATTTTTGCTTATATATATATATACAACTTTTGATATATTATTAAGCACACTCTTCTATAAGGGAACCAAGCACACTTTTACCTGGATTAATCAATCTCAAAATTTCTCGCATTTTGAGAGTGGACTATTTCAACATTCCTATCTGTCGGTACAATTAGTATGTATTTTTCTTTATTATTGATTTTGGGTTGTGCGGAAGGTGGCAGGGAGTACTTTGTAACATGGGCTCTAGGTAAAGGCGGGTTACGTCCCCCCTTTATTCAATTATTTGATGATGGTGTGACGATACAATCATACAATGGTAAAATAATTCAATTAGATCTGTATAATTCAGATCAATTGAATATTCAGTCAGGATTCGAATTCGATATCAACCATTTCAAGTATCCAGTCGAAATAGAAAAAAAAAAAAAAAAGCAAAAGAAAAGTTACTAATATAAATTTAATTCGAAGTCTTTTTTACCAAAAAAAAAAATCAAAGTCAACATCCATATTGAAGATGAAACCCGACATTTCCCTCACGACACATTCAGATTACAAAACCCCCTCGCTCTCGCTGTCATGAAGCACCAACCCCATAAATGCACAAATCTACAGAAAGAGAGAGACCTGAAAAGAAAGAACTTAACTACGACTACAAGGTCAGCCACTCCTCACTCACCTCGCGGAAACATTGCTTGAATCTTGATTGCATTTCATTTATAATTGCTCAGGTGATAGAAAGAATTTGAGAGAGAGAGAGAGAAAGGGTTATTCTGAGAATCTCGGCACGACGGATCACGAGAATCAAATACGGGTCTTAACCCCAAATATTTTGCTGTCTCACTACTAACGTCTCTAGACTCGACTATACCCAGCTTTTTCAATCAATTACTATTTACAGAATGAGTAGAAAGAGTGAGCCATCACACAACTAACGGCTACTTCTGACCTACAACCTCACCGGCGACGGACAACCCAACCGGCTAACTGAACAATCAATATGTTAACTACTTATTCCCGTTGACAGCGACCCACATTTTCTTTCCGGCCGAAAAGGCCTTCTCTGATGAGATCTTTTCATCTTATCCCCAATTTCATTACATCTGCGCAAGTACAGAAAATACAGTCTAGATGAAATCTGAAAAAGTAGAGAAACTATTACAGGAATATAAAGCATTCTAACGAAACGTGAGGGTTTTCAAGGGACTCGTTAGTCTGCCAGTTTCCGTCTTTTGTTTCTTCTAACTTCTGGTCAGGTTCCTGAGGCAGCGGCGGGACTCGGCCTGGGGACATCCCGGGTCTCCTCGATGACGGGCTGCGGCCGATGGTTGACCGAGCCGCTCCTGACTCAACCGGACGTGTGGCTGGTGACCTCGACCTCCGACCGGAACTGTCACCGGGATCTTGCTTTAGTCCATTGTTGCCAGATATCCGTCGTCGCGTTGCATGGTTCATTTCCTTGCTGTGAACCGATCTGATGGCATTGTCGGTTCTTCTGCCGGGAGACGGTTCGAATCTTCTGACAGGAGACCTGCCTCCCTTATCTGTCCTCCCGGCCAAATCACCTGAAGCAAAGCGTTTTTTAGGGACTTTACCCGGAGATCTATCCACTCTCTGCCGTACTTCTCCGTCATCCCGGCTCCTCTCTTCGTCGTCCTTCCTCTCTGTCATGGTCGTCGTGGAGAGGCTCTCGCTTACGCTACAGATCTCCGACATTTCAGAGGCATCTTCCACTGCGTTGGATGGAGCTTTCTTCTCCACACTCTCCTCTTCAAGGTCCAGCAAAGAGGGCTTCCGGATCTTCTCGTTGTGAATCTTCGGGAAAGGGAGGAGCTTGGGTTTGGGAGTCTCCGACAGTACTTCCTTCACAGTCTCCTCTTCAACCGGAGGAGGTGCAGGTGGAGGAGCTTTGCCGTTGGCCCTTCTAACGCAAGAGGAGTCAAGCTCCGGCACCAAAGCTCTCTCCGATAAATGCTGGTGCTTTGGGGAAGCTAGCTTCTCTTCACCACTCTCATTGGTGCTGATACAACAACCCATTTCGATTTTGCTGCAAACTCAAAAGACTGTAACGGCTGAAGCTTTTGAACCCGTGAATTCCTTCAAGTAAGAAGAGATTGTAAGTGGCATAGTGAGTTCCAGGCCTAAATTGAAGCGGTGGAAATCAGCAGCGATGTTTTAACCGGAGAAATAGAGAGAGAGTGGTGGGAGAGGTCGGAGGTGGAGAGAGAGAGAGAGAGAGAGAGAGATGAGATGAGATGAGATGTGAGGATTCATTAACAGGCGGGAATGGTAATTAAGTTAGAGAGAGCAGACAACACATCACCCAGTCACAATAAAGAGTATTTATTGGGAGTTCTGCTGCGGTTACATCTTACAATAAGAAAGAGAGAGTGGGAGTGGGAAAAGGACTTAATGAGGACGTCTTTTTAGGGAAATACCTTACCTTGTGTCATCACTCATCACTCTCGTCAACACCACCTTTGAGAGAAGCGTCGATCAACTGTGAGAGAGATTGTTTTTATTCCAGGGAATAGAAAGTATAAAGTGTGGCGTGTAAACTGTAATATACTGTGAAGTCAGATAGTAGAGAAAGTTGAAGTTGTTATCATTCATATTTACCAAGAAAAAAAAAAAAAGTAGACAAACCCTTTCCCTGTTTAATCTGTTATTATATGATTATAGGTAAGAATATACAGTATCCTTGTAAAGACTGTTGACTCTGTTCTTGTTGTTGGTCTCTTGATTGCATTCCGAGCATTAATTTTTCGCCTTTTGGCTTAATAAAATGAACATTTTCCTTAGTATTTCACTATTTTGTCGTAATAATGCCCATGTGCATTACTCATACCAGACCAGGTATTAGACAATTTTAAATGGCCTAATTACAAATTTTCTAAACGATTTTGTGCTTGTCTTCTTTATTTCATATTTAAGTGGTACAATATCACTAAACCCAATCTGATGAAATTATCTATCCTATTTCAAGGAAAAAGAATCATCCAAAAGAGTAATTTGAACATTTAAAAATGTCTAATCTAATACACTATGTGATGTATCATTGTCTAAAAAAGTCTAATGCATTCTGTGATGTACAAGAATTTCTAATAGTATAGTTTTTTTCCTTTTTTTCTATTAAACAGTAAGACATTACGAGGGGAAATCGTTTAAAAAAAAGGTGGAAGAAAAGGAGGGAGAGAGAGAGAGAATAAGTGGGCCACTGGGCCTTTTATTTATTTTTGTCCATCTCTCGCTTTTCCCCTAACCTTTCTCATGGTTACTGAATCCTGACTTCCTTCTCTTTTATTTATTAATTATTGTCTGTGCAACGTTTTTTTTTTTTTTTTCAAAAGAGGAACCAATAAAAACATCAGGGATTCATCAGCTGCCCACTGTTCATGGGTCGGGCTCGGATCGGGCTTTCACTCTGTATTAACAGATTTTTCTAAGACCCAAACCCGAGCCCGGTCCTCATAAAAAGCCCAAAGCCCGGGCCTACGCCCAAACCCGAAATTTAGCCCATACTATTACCACTGCTGAAGCGGCTGAAAAAAAAAATATATATATATATAGAGAGAGAGAGAGAGAGAAAGAGAGAGAGAGAGAGAGAGAGAGAGAGAGAGAGAAATTATAAAGAAAATAATAAAAAATGTATATATTAAATTATAAATATATATTTTAATAAATATTATATTATTTATATATTTTATATAATATATAAAATACATATTATATATTTTATAAAATATATAATGCTGAGTCGGGCCGAGCCGGGCTTTTTGATAAATCCCGAGCCCGGCCCGAAACACAATCGGGTTTACTGTGTTAGGCCCGAGGTCAGGCCCGCAGGCCTAATTACATGACCAAGCCCGACCGGGGTGCGGGCCGGGCCATCGGGCTACCCGGTCCATGAACAGGTACAGGATCTAATCTACTTAGATGAGGGGGGAGTCTATTAAAAGAGATAAAAGAGTTCCTTAGTCTAACTTTCTTGACTAGAACATGCGCTAAAACTGTATTACATCTATTTACATAAACTAAAGATAAGTTTTTTAAAAAAAAAGTCAATAGATGCTTAATGTGGTTTGTAAGGTGTTCATTTCATAAGATGTTTCTTTTGGTTTCTCTAGTGCCTTCTAACACTGCCTTTGCATCTAACAATAAAGTTGCTGAAATGATGTTCTGAGAAATCAGCTTTCTTAAGCCTCGGATGATTGCCCACTGTTCAGTTTCACCTTACGAGATGGCCATGCAGGGTTCTCCTTCTGCAATCTCAGTACTTGTATTGTAAGAAGATAGATAGAGGCACGTTGCTGCTCTATGTGTATTTGTGTCCCAAGATCCATCCACTATTATATAATTGGCAGATGAGCAGTTTAAAGACAGCGAGTGTGTCCGTGTTTAGAGAGTCACCTTTCACATTTCCTTCTATATTGTTCACATTCAAAGGAAAATAAAGATCTACACGATTACAGACATCCAGAGGATTTGGAATTTTAGCCTTGAAAACAACTTCATTTTGTTCATCCCATATACTTCTTAGGAGGGCCATAATTCTAGATAAGTAAATTTTCCTTAAGGACTTGTTCCCTCCAGCATTTCGAGACCACCTCGACAGGAAGTCTATTGTATTTACTTGCAGAAAACTATCTGGGTTAAAGCCTACTTGACCTTGCAGCCAAACCGCTTTCATAAGGGAGGATTCATAAAATTGATGATTTTGAATCCAGAATGGACATGACTCTTTGTTTTGATTGCATTTGATAAGATCTTCCATCCAAAGATCTGGCATCTGTATGGAGCTTGTAGTTCCACAACATCCTCTACTGAATTACATTTTGGGGGTCAGATATTAGATCTGCAATGAAAGTTCTATAGGTTGATCCGGCAGAGAAAGTCCCATCTGATGTTCCTTTCCATAAGAGACAATCCTCTAGGCTGTCAGGATTTAGAGGGATATGTTGAATGGCTTCTACTATGACATCATCAAAGATTTTTCTTAGAATCTCTACATTCCACATACCATGTTGTGATAGGAGATCATTGACATGGATAGTAGAGTTTTGTTCTTATTGGAGCATGCCATCTTTCAATGTGGGTTTACTATTTTCACTCCAAGGAATCCATGGATCATTTAAAGCATCTATCTTCTCTCCCGTCCCATCTTCCAATGTAGTTGTTTTTCTAGATCTTTCCTCAAGGATAGAACACATTTCCACCACCATGAATGCATGAATCTGAGTTTTTCTTCTCGCAGGTGAAGAAACTTTTATTTTTTAAATATTTTGTTCTGATTTGTTCAGCACAAAGGTCTTCACTCCCGCTTAGCAATTTCCAGATTTGTTTAACAAAGAGGGCTTTATTCATTTCTTTAGCTCTCCTCAAACCCAAACCTCCATCATTCTTCATTTTACGGATTTTCCTCTAAGCAATTTTATGGCCATAACTTTTTTCTTTATTCCCCTTCCACCAAAACTTCCTATAGAGTTGGTTGAGTTTTGTTAAGACTTTTTTTGTTAGGAGGTTCGTTAACATAATATAGGTTGGTATACTTTTGAGTCCTGGTTTTATGAGTGTTGTTCTTCCCGCTTGTGAGAGAAGCTTTGCTTATTAGGAATCCATTCTTTTCTCAATTCTATCAATCATCTCGCTATAAGCATTACTCTTTTTCCTTTCGTCCGCCAACCAGGAGCCTAAATATTTTGAATGGTAACCCATGATCTTCATATTGAGCATCTTACACATGAACTTTTGGTGGACTCTGTGGATATTGCTACTAAAGACTATACCAAATTTCTGATAGTTTATTTGTTGCCCTGAGATTTTTTCAAATTTTTTCAGTGCTTTTAGATGGAGGAAGGTTGGATTTGCTTTGGTGAAGACTAAACAGTCATCAGCAAACATTAGATGGGATATTTTCCTTGTGTTTTTTACCCATTGCAATGCCTTCAATTTTACCAAATTCTTCTTCCTTTGAGAGAATATATAAGAGCACCTGCATTACAATGATGAAGAGAAAAGGGGGAGAGGGGGTCTCCTTGTTGGAGTCCTCGTTTTGTGGTGAAGACCTTACAAGGACTTCCATTTAATTGAATCGAAAAGGAGACTGTTGAGAGACATTGGTAAATCAAATTACACCATTTTCCTGGGAATCCCAATCTTTTCATCATCTCTATGATGAATTCCCACCCCATTCGATGAAAAGCCTTGGCCATATCTAATTTTAGAGCAGCCCATCTTTATTTCCCTTTCTGATTTTTTAATAGCACTCTATAGATTACATTGCACAAGCTTATTGGCCTATAATGCTTCACTTGTTCAGCGCTACTTTTCTTTGGTATGAAGACTAAGTTTGTGTGGTTTAGCTCTCTCAACAATCTCTGTCTTTTGAAGAAATTTTGGATAACTTTTGTGAGATCCATCCCAACCACATCCCAAAATTTCTGGTAAAAGAAAGGAGTGAAACCTTATGGTCCCGGAGCCTTGTGTCGGTTCATCTCAAACAAGGTTGTTCTGACCTCTTCAACAGAGGGGACTACAAGGAGGGATTCTTGGTCTTCTCTTGTGAGAAGGTTTGGGATCAAATTATCTAGAGATGATGGGTCTAGGAATTCATTTGAACCACTTATTCTGAGAATGTGATCTTTAAAACTTATTGCTATTTCCTTCCTTTCATTTATCCATGTTCTTGAACCCTTTAACCATTCTATTGTGTTCCATCTTCTTTTCTATTTCACATGGAGATGAAAAAACTTTGTATTTTTTCCCCTTCCTTCTCCACAATTGTTCTTCATATTTGAGCCAATTATTGTGTTGATTTATCAAATTTTTTAATTCCACCGTCTTCCTCCTTTTGATGAGTACAATTCTGTCTTTCTGTTATTTCTTCTTCGAGGTTTTTGAGTTTCTGATTGATGTTTCCAAAGACATGTTTATTCCATTCCACTAGGAAGTTTTTAACTTTCTTAAGCTTGGTGACCACCTTGTAGGCCTAAGGGTCGATTGGATTCTCTTGCCACCCTTTTTGGATAATCTCTATACACTCTTCCTGTTCAGTCCACATGGGAAGGAAAAGGAATAATTTTTTTTTCCTCAAGAGATGATGACAATGGAGACCGCCAACTTCCACGACATCATGTATCACTTTGTCACGGGGGTAATCGTTGGGGCCCTGTGCGGCACTCGAAATGGGCGAGTAAGCCTACGAAACAAAGCAAACACACACACAAAGGCAACAAGATGGCACACGAATTAGCAAAAGGCTATTT